CTTTATAAAACTAAACTGCCTTTAACTATTAAATGGCTTTATCGATAAACTTTGAGTTTGCAATAAAATGATTTCAAATTCTCGCTTGCAAATAACTTTGGTCTTTGCTTTATTTTTTATTTAAAAAATTCAATATAATAAAAAAGGGTATCAATATTAAAGTTACACTGAAATTTATATACCGGGTGGCCCAAAAAAAAGTACTCCTGTTTGATTCGTAATAACTTCTAAACAAGTAAAGTTTTTAAAGAGAAATAACTTGCATTAAATAGAGGAAGGACTAACTTAGATTTTGATATATTACAGTTGTATTTAACTAAAAAATTCACGGAGATATTAATGTTAAAAATGGGGAGCATATTTTGGAATGTGTCTAAAATTAGCGAAAATCGGCATATCAAATATTAACTCCAGCGTTTGTTTGCTTAATGACATATTAGGCTAATTTGTATTTCAGCGAATTATCGTTAAGGTTTGTAAGGGATATGGCGTAGATTTAGACATCTTACATGTAAGTCTTAGCTCATTGTTTCCTGAAATATGAACGTTCGAAATTATGCAAGTATTTAATATTAGGTCTTTGCAAACTTAAATGCACATGAAAGACTGACCATGGAAGGCAGGCGCTTAAATTTTTCGTATTCTTAAATAGCCTAATTTTTTTATGTTTTTAATGGGTTCAAACAGACTGAGTAGATTATTTCTCGGTTAGAGCAGGATGAATATTCTTTATTGAAGGAAATAATATTGCTTTTTGCAAATACACATCACCGTATCAACGCTACTATTTTGTTACGCTTTGTTCCAAAAATGTTGCATGTCTCTGGGGAGTTGCTTAATTGTTATGTCTTATGGAGTTGTATGGTTTGATTGTGTTTCATATAATTCTCAGTTTACTCCATGAACTTGCCAAGATTAAGAAACGGCAAAAGAGTTTGGGTGTTCTTAACAAGATTTCATAACGTTGCAGAAGTTAGAAGAGCTTCACAATTCCGTTGTGACAGCATGCCCTAATTCAGAACTACGAACGATCCAATGACGATCCTTCGCGATGCAGTGCCAGTGGTCTCATGAAATAAGGAAACGTATTCGTGCTAGGAACACACGCGAATTTCGGACGAATGAATCTTGCTTGTATTTTGTAGATATAATAATACTTTGTTTCATAATAAACAATTTGTCAAATGTCATTTATTTACTGGTAATAGTGCATGTTTCAGTCGGGCAAATCTTGATTAATATTTGATACGCCGATTTTTGCATATTTCAGACACATCCAGAAATATCCTCCCGAATTTAAAGATTAATATCTCCGTGAATTTTTAAGTGAAATACAACTGTAATATATCAAAGTCTAAGTTAGTCCTTCCTCTATTTGATGCAAGTTATTTCTCTTTAAAAGCTATACTTGTTTAGATGTTATTACGAATCAAACAGGAGTACTTTTTTTGGGCCACCCGGTACATTACTGGATTTTGCGGTTATTGGCTGCCCTTCCGTTTTAATATATCGTTGCCGTTATTGATGACTGAGAAGCTATTGTGTCTGGAGTGTTCTAACGGTACTTTCATAAGGCACCATAATGAGTAATGACCCAGTTTTTTAATTTCATTGAAATGATAATGAGGTTTTATTATGGAGTGATACTGGCTTTCGTTCACCACTCGCTGCTATATAAAGCCTGGTTCACATTGATCGTAAACATCGGCGATGCCCATTGTCGGTGGTCATTGATGCATAAAATGTTTTGTGCATTTTCTTCGTTGCTCACAGACAATGGATCGTAGAACATCGCCGATCAATGTGAACCAAGGCTTAAGCGTTCAATTTATGTTTCGTATATTAATTTCCGAATTTGCTTGAGTGCACACGAAACAATAGCTTGGAATCGAGGCGGACAATGTAATCCATTGGAAATAAGTATAGTTTTCCAATGGATTACATTGTCCGCCTCGATTCCAAGCTATTGTTTCGTGTGCACTCAAGCAAATTCGGGAAGTGTCTATTCACCTTGAGTCTTAAACTGTCTCTAAACTCGATCAATACATTAAAATAGCCGTTTTTGTTATACCTGCCCGTCAACTGAAATCCCAAATTTATGCCATTGCAAATAAATTAGAATACGTGTATTTCCGCATAAACAAAACGATTATATCTTGTGGTGTTTATACTGTATCTGCACAGACGTCACAGGGGTCTTCGCGGTCAGGTAAACAAGTACTGTAGTAGGCATGGTTGCGTGTCTGTATAAACGGTGGCGTGAGGTCTCAAATTATGATACATATTAAATGCCTTGCTCCAAGAAGTGTTTGAAATATTCGCAGTTGAGTTCTTGCTCAGTTCGTTTCAAGTCTTGAGTCCAACATGAGTGCTGAATACCGAAATCCCACCGAAGTCGAAGTGAACAAGATCATATCCGCAGAAAATGTGCAACAACGAAACCAAGCATTGTTAGCCGGCGATCTTTTGAAAGCCATGGACATAACCGCATGTCTGGCTGCAGAAAAACACGCCAAGCTTCCTTGTGTGACGCTGATGATGGATGATTTGGTCGTTAACGAAAACCTGTTACACGGACAAGTGCTGAATGTGAAAGCGAAGCTGACCAGAGCCTTTGGTTCGAGCATGGAAGTGGTTGTCGAAGCATCAATCGAAGACATGTTCAAACATGAACGTGTCCAAATTTGCAAGGCTTATTTCGTGTTTGTTGCATTGGCGAAGGTGGGAAAAGCGAAGCTAACTCATTTGGATCCTGTAACTATGGATGAAAGACTCGAATATGCGTTGGCATACGAAAGGCGGAAGCTACGTTATGCGGCGAGAAACGCAGCCAAAGCGAAGTCTGCGAATAAGGGAAGTAGCTCAGATACTCCCATAGTTCAAAGTGATGGTCAGGCCAGTCAAACTGGATCTCCTGAAGTGCCGATGTCGCTTACTGTCGTCGAAAGCGTTGAGTTGGTCCTACCTAGCCAGGCCAACCACCATCAAACTACATTTGGTGGACAGATCATGGCATGGTTAGTCTCGACATGTACCATCGCTGCCAGTAGACTGTGCCAGACTCGACCATCAATCATCGAAGTGACTGGTGTTCATTTCTTAGCGAAGTCCACTGTTGGTGATCGCTTGGTGTTCAAAGCGATGGTGAATAAAACATTTGATGATAATTCTTTCGAAGTTGGGTGCAGAGTCGAGTCTAGTACCTTGGAAGGTAAGACAGCGCACATTAACAGCGCTTATCTTACTTTTGCCGTGTTCGACCAGAACAAACAACGTCAGCAAGTCCCCGTTGTCAAGGCAACCACATCCGAGCAAGTACGACAACAAGCCAACGCGGTCGGGCGTCGGAATGCAGAAGTCCAGAAGGACAAAATCCTTGGTGCTATCGGTCCTGCTTTGTCAGTTTTGTGGACGGCGAAAATCAGTGATGTGCTAGCCTTTCATAATGTCTCTGCTTTCAAGAAATTATGTCACCTGGACACGTGGCAGGAAATTTCCAAAGAAGATGGATGCGTGCTGTCCACGTGCAAGCAAGATGAATTAACGTGCGTCAAATTGGAAGCAACCATTGCGAAGCCCGCTGTGGATGTTTTCAAAGCTGTCCAGTTAATAACCCGGGCATCGTGGGATCCCATTATTACCAAATCAGATGTCGTGCGTAAAGTTGATGATGACGACAGCATTGTTCATATTGTCATGGCAACAAACCCTCCCGGGCAATCCTCCCCGGACAAAAGCCCCACAAAACCGAGCGATCTGTTACTCCTGGAATCTACTCGTCCTGCAGTCGGGAATGATGGTCACGTGATTGCATACCGCTCTATTACCATGAAGTCGTATCCGGTATCTGACCAATACGAGCGAAAAGAGAATCTCACCTCGGGCTTCATGATTGGTCAGTCTGCGAGCGATCCTAACCAATCAACATTGATTTACATCAACCAAATAACGAAGCAGGTGGCAGAATTCTTGTTCAAAGATCTCAAAGGAGGATCAAAAGTGTACGCTGAACGCATCAAGAAACTACGTGAATATTTGAAGGTTCAAATTGTAACTTTCCCTGACATACCAACCGTGGAGGATATTCTCTCAAGCACTTCAAGCATAGTCAAAGTTGAAACAATATTATCGACAGACAGTTGATGTTAAAAGTACATGCCTAATTGTAGTCCTTGTACACACGTAAAAATCTCACAACTTGTCAACAAGATGTGTTCGCAACAGTCTTGTAGCAAGCTTGTCAACAGGTTGTAACAATGCTGTTATTTTATCCAGTTGTTGTCTCTCACAACTTGTTGACAAATGTTGAATTGCAGGACGATGACAAGTTGTTGGAACAACTTGTAACAAGTCTGTTGAGTTCAACAACCTTGTAGCAAGTTGTCAACAATCCGTTGACAACTTGTCAACAAGCTGGTAACAAGCAGTGCGAACACATCCTGTTGACAAGTTGTTGGAACAGCATTGCTATAAGTCTGCTGCAGGTTTGTTACAACTTGTGTATTTTTACGTGTGTTGTGTTCAAGCTAACGTGTATAAGCTATTACATCATTAATTATTATTATTACATTATTATTCAGCTCACTATATAAGTAATAACATATGCTCTGTCTAGCGCTGTAGCTAGTGATAACAGCAGAAAGCTTCAGAGTGAGAGGAATTCAACTACCTGACCGCCGACGCCGCGGAGGTAAAATGCCCTGGGTACGAGGTTGCTACCTGACCCTGCGCTCCTTCGCCCAGCGGCTACGCTCGTGTTCCAAGATCCGCCATGTAAAGTGTAGTGAAATGTATCTCATCGACGTCATCGTAATATTAAATCCTAAGAAAACTAAAGCCTCTGCGGAGGAGAGAGACTACCTGATGTAACTTGTATTTTTCATGTAGCTGATTCCCTTTCAATCCACAACATTGACATATACCCATTAGAAAATAATAACATTATAATTAAACCATTTAAAAACGTCATACTATAGAAGAAAAATGTTTTGCAAACTAATATTACAGTATAAACTTGAACTGTCTGTGCCAGTGTAGGTAGTGCCAATCAAATGAACAAGCTTTCGTTGCTAGGGATGCAACTACCTGAAAAATGTAAGGAGAATTTCGACGTTTCGAGCGAAGGCCTTGCGTTACTAGTAACTCCAGCCGGAAGGCCTTGTCGAAATTCTCCTTAGTATATTTTCCCGGTGCTTGCATCCCTACCAACGAAAGCTTGTTCATATTACCACAGTTCTCTGTTTATAATTTTGTTAGACCGCATTTCTACAATCTTGGACATATAAAAAGGTTGAGACTAGCATTCCCTTATACAAACTTTGCGTAGCCGCTTTGTGTGACTACTGCTACCTTTCGATTTGTATCTCTACCAGGCTTAATAACAATTTGATTGGCTATAATCGGGTAGATTAAACGCATCTGATTGGTTGATGATAGTGGAAGTCAAAATCTCAACTAGAGGCAGGGCCGCCGAGAGGTTGGCGGGGGCCCGGGGCAATTTTTTTTTAGGGGCCCCTATCTAAAAAATTTTTCCCGGAAAAATTTTTTTCCGGAGAACAACTTCCCCTCCCCCCCCCGTCGCCAAAAAATTTTCGGTCAGTGTACCATTTTAGAGGTTAAAATTTTTTTCCGGAGTACAAAATTTTTCCGGACCAGTACGTTGCAATTGCTTTCTAGGGACTTTATCTCATTTTTTATGCCAAAATTCGGTACTTAGCCCAAGAAAACAGATATCTTGTCCTTTGCGCGGAAATATTTAACACACAAAAAAGGCTGGGGCCCAACAAAAATTTTTCAGGGGCCCCCAGCAACTCGGGGCCCAGGCAATTTGCCCCTGCCCCCCCCCCCTCTGGGCGGCCCTG